TGGTGTCTTGTGTGCCTGTTACAGGTGCCTTCGTTTTCCAACAACGGATGGTACTCGGATCTGCTCGGTGAAGGCATGGCTTGGCTTGATTCGTTTTGTGCTCCTTCCCGCCCGGCTCAGATGCTGATTTCTTTAGCTCCGAGTAGGGTCCTGGAGTTTGTGAAAGTCCATTCAGTGGGGATTTCCCCCCTTTCCCCTCCCCTCATCACTGTACTTACGTTCAATGATTGGGCGGACCTGTTGTGAACCCCTGTATGTGTCCTTTGCCTCACCTCCCGACCGTCCCTGTTTCGCGTCGGCCAACATCGACGCGTGCGACCCTTCCTCTGTTGCACGTCGGCATCGACGCACTCGGACCACACTTCAGGCCTCACCCCCACGTGTGTTGTTTGCCTCACCTCCGTGAGTACTGTTTTACCTGCGTGCGGGCCTCACCTTCGGCTCCGTCCCTCTGCCTGTCACCGGGTCTGCGTCCTGCCGTTTCAGGAACGTCTTCCGTCCCTTGGTTGCGGGCGGGCACCAATCGCCCCTGCCCTTGCGTTTGCCCTTTCGCTGGTTTCCGCTGGGCTTGCGACTGCGTGTGTCGCTAGGACCTTTGCATCTTTTAGGTGTATAGAGATAGAGATGAATGTGAGAGAGAGAGAGAGAGAGAGTGAGAGAGAAAGAATTAGTGTTATAAAGTTTTGTTGTGTATGTTATAACGAGTGTGAGAGAGAGAGAGAGAGAGAGAGAGAGAGAGAGAGAGAGAGAGAGAGAGAGAGAGAGAGAGAGAAAAAAAAAAAGAGAATGGCAAAATTGAAATATGGGTCAAATTGCGGCCGCGATCTATTTCATGGTTGGAATGATTTTTTAAAATTTATTTAGCGTTTTTCTTGGAAAGATCACAACAAAATCTACGAGTACTGCAATTTTCAAGTTTTTTCATGCATTCTTCTGAGCGCGAAAACTCACTTAATTTGGAGTACTTTTTCAGTTGGCCCACACATGGCTGAGTGGCAAAAAATGGAAAATGTGCCGAATCGGCGCGACGATTATTTCACGGTCTAAATTTGTTTTTGAAAATGTTATAATATTTTTCCTTGAAAGAACACAACCTCATCTATGGATTCTCAAAATTTCAGATTTTTTTGCAGGTTCCTCCGAGCACAGAAAATCGCCAAAGTGACCTCTTGCAAAACGCCTGTTTCGTTGCACCTGACCTCCCTGTTTTGAGAAGACAGGCCTCAACGCCTGGGCTTGAGGGCCCTTTTGCAGTTCACATGCCCTCACTTCTTTTTGGGGTCTGCTTTCACCCGAGGACCAGTCGAACGTCCCCCACTTCCTTTTGGGGTCCGCTTCCACACGAGGACCGGTCCTTCCTTTTTCCAAAACTTTCGGTTCTACTAGAGCTAGATGTTCGCAGCCCGTCAGGGTTGCGATTTCGGCCGTGGAAGACATTTTTCGTCGTCGTTCGTTATACCGGTTGTTCATTCCCGCTGGTTGGTCGTTGGAAGGCTCCAAAAATGCAGGCACACAGACAGGCAGGGCANCGTTGGAAGGCTCCAAAAATGCAGGCACACAGACAGGCAGGGCACTTTAGGGGCTACAATGGCAGTTTCTTTGGAAATACTGGACCGGTAGCTGCTCGTGGGACCGCGCAGGGTTGGCGCAGGCCGCGGTCCTTGAGCTGCGAGTTTCAAAAAGGAAAGGGCGCAGGGGCTGGGGCGAAAAGTCCGAAACGACGCCCTGGGGGACGCAGGTCCTTGAAATTCAAATATGAAAAGGCGTGGACCCAGGCCTACAGCCTCATGCCCAGCCCACCCACTTCGGCCCTCACTGTTCTGGATGATTTTGTCTGAATCTGGAAGCAGTTCTGAGCCAGATTTGGAAACAGAGATGTTCTCTCTCTCTCTCTCTCTCTCTCTCTCTCTGACACACACACACACACACACACACACACACACACAGGGCCTCGCCACAGCCAAAACGAAACAAACTACGGGGTGCGCAAGATTTTGTCTGAATCTGGAAGCAGTTCTAAGCCAGATTCGGAAACAGAGATGTTCTCTCTCTCTCTCTCACACACACACACACACACACACACACACACACACACGCGGCCTCGCCACAGCCAAAACGAAACAAACTACGGGCTGCGCACCCGTGCCCTCACGGTAAGTCAATAAGTAGTCCGCAATTTTGCCAAGGACCGGTCACCCAAATTTTTTTGCCCCCTAAGAACCCACTTTGTGTCCTGGTGGCCCGGCGCAGAAAATCCGATACCTTCACATTGACCCCGAAGCCCACTAGACCGCAGCCTTAGGGCTGCCAATTACGTTTTCTTTTTTTTTGGGAGGTCAGCGCCTGCCCTTGTGCTCCCCGCCACTGACATGGTGCATGCTGCAGGGCTTTCTCTCTCTCTCTCTCTCTCTCTCTCTCTCTCTCTCTCTCTCTCTCTCTCTCTCTTTTTACACACACAGGGAGCCGCACCTGCTGGAAACTGCGTCCAGCGCCCCATGAACATCGTCAATAGAGCACCTGCCCGAACTCCCCCCGACACTCTTGGAGTTGTGTACCGCGAACATAGCAAAACATACGCACACCATAATCACTACCTCACCCTTCCCCAACCGCATCAACAAAGGAACTACGGGCTTTGCACCCGTGCCCTCACGGTAAGTCAATAGTCAGAGGGGCGCGACTGGGTAAGTCGGCCATCAGAGGGGCATAACCTAAATAAATGGAAGTCGAAGGGCTAGGGGGAAGCTGGGGAAGCTGGGGGGTTGAAGGCGCTAATCGCGCCACGTGGATTCATTTCCGGTTCGGGAGAGAGAGAGAAACGGGGGTCCAGGGCAGGGGGGGAGGGCTAGGGGGAAGTGGGGGAGCTGGGGGGTTTAAGGCGCTAATCACGCCACGTGGATTCATTTCCGGGTCGGGATACTGCCTCGGACGACTTACCTCTTCCGCTGGTAGAATGTACGATCATTGGGGCTGTATTTGGGGCAATTTTCTGTCGAGATTCAGCGATCATTATCCTATGTGCTGTCAGGGGGAAGACGGTACTTCGCTTTGCCCTGAAACTCTTCTTGTTGCTCGATCCGGAAATGAGGGAGAGAGATGCGGAGAGAGAGAGAGAGAGAGAGAGAGAGAGAGAGAGAGAGAGAGAGAGAGANAGAGAGAGAGAGAGAGAGAGAGAGAGAGAGAGAGAGAGAGAGAGAGAGAGAGAGAGAGAGAGAGAGAGAGAGAGAGAGAGAGGGCTAGAAAGAGATGGGGTGAGAGAGCGAGGGAGAACGAGAATTGCCTTTTTCAGGTCCACGTTCATCAGTGACTCTGTCTCACCCCCTCGCTCTCCCTCTCTCTACTCCTCTTACCAGTGATTCACTCCTCCCTCTTCCCCCTCCCCCCCCCTCTCTCCCTCTCTCTCCCTCTCTGTCCCTCTCTCTCTCTCCCTCTCCCTCTCCCACTCCCTTCTCTGTCTCCTTCTCCCTCCCTCTCCCTCTCTCCCTCACGCTCCATCTCTCTCCCACCTCTGGAGCTCATCAGTGATTCTCTCTACCTCCTCTCTTCCCCCTGTCTCCCTTGTATTCGTCTCTCTCCCTATCCCTATGTCACCCTCGTCTCTCTCTCTCCCTCCAACTCCCTCGCACTCTCTCTCTTCCCCCCTGTCTCCCTCTCTTTTTTCTTCTCTCTCTAGGCGCAGTCCTCTCTCAGCTCCTTAAAAACAGAGCTGATCAATCTCGCAATTATAGAGTTATCCAAGCATCAAGCGATAATCTGACCGTTACGCAAAGTGTTAATCAATCAAATCGAACATGCAATTATGGGATGTAGTTGATCACGATCTGAAGAAGAATCGTGTACGTGTGACTTGTGTTTATTTGCATGTGTGACTGCGCAGGCTATGGAAAAAGGACCACCTGGATATGCAAAACCATCAGGAAAGGGAAATGGAGAACGACCCAGACACAAGCCGGCGCACGGATATAGAAGAGAACCTTACAGATTGGACGACAGGCAAACAGTCAGTGAATAAATTAGGGTTTTTTGGAAACTAACTAGATAGAGAGAAACAGGTATATATTGGGATAGGTACGTAGATCGGAGTGGGTCTTACTAGACATACGTTTAATGGATAGGCAGACATACAGCAATCAATCAATCAATCAATCAATCAATCAAATCAACCAACCAATCGATCAAGTCAATCAATCTATCAATCAATCAAATCAGTGACCCAATCAATCAAATCAGTCAATCAATCAATCAATCAATCAATCAATCAACCAATCAACATAGTAATGAGTGTTATATGATCGATCAGAAGATGGATTGATGATTAGCTAGTGATAGAGTTGGAGCAGGCGACGATGCAGCGATGGGATTTATCGTCCTGTAAAGCGGATCCAGCAGCAAAAGTTTTATCACAAGCCAAGACGAGGGGGTAGGAATTTAGCATCGAGGAGATGATCTGAAGAGCTGGGAGTGAAGTGGCAGCTACCGCTCGTCTGCGATGGAGGGTGAAGAAGAGAACGAAAGACATTTATTGATTCTGGAAACGATCAGATAGTAAGACTCGCCCTGCCATCTCTCTGGACCTATCTCGTCTCTCCCGGTTATATCTTCGAAGAAAAGAAATGGCTTTTGCGATGACGTCGATAGGAATTTGCGTCTCGCACGCCAGAGGTAGGTGAGCGCCTACTCCTCTTTTCTCCATCACTCTCCTCTTGTATGCTCTCAGGTTGACGTCATCGCTTTTTCCAATAGGACCTGTGGTGGATGTGGGTGCGGCCACCCACTACATTCGAAGAGTGCCCACTCACCACTCCTTGTCCTCTCTCCCATTTTGCTCGTCCTTATTACTCGTTCACACGTCGAAAAAATACCGTCTTCTCATCTTCTTCTCCCCCTCTTCCTGCTCCTCCTCCTCCTCCTCCTCTCCCTCCTCTCTCCTCTTCTTCTTGTTCTGTCTCATATTGGAAGTGGATCCCATTCGTCTTCTCCCTTCTCCCTTCTCCCTCTGTTTCCTCCTTGTTCCTCTCCTTGTGCTTTCGTGGCCATTGACACATCAGAGCAACCTCTTCAGGTTCCTCCCCCTCGTCGTCGCATCGGAAGCAGAGTCTTCTCCTCCCCCTTCTCCTCCCCCTTCTCCTCCCCCTTCTCCTCCCCACTTTTTCTCCCCCCCCCCTCCCCTCCCTCTACTTCTGCCCCTTCTCCTGCGTATTTTCCTCCCTCTCTTCCTCCTCCTCCCTGCGCTTGTTCTCAGGAGGCCAATCAACCGGCCTGTGCTGGATTCTGTGGTGGTTCATGATGGCGGTACCATCGACCGCTCTGGTGACAATGACCACTGCATCTATTGGTAGTCCAGTGGGGTGGGAGGACATTCGACAAGGAGGAGTTGGGTGTGGGTCGCGCGGGGCAGCGCACCAGGACAGCGGTGAGTGCCGCCGATTGCGCACCATGTCATTCCGCGCCGAGTCAGAGGCTCTAAGCCGACATCGTAATGACACGTGGCATAAGTTGGCCTTCATCCGGGACACTCCCCGGCAAGCGGGAACCGGATCGAGCCGTCGTGCTTTGGCTGTGTGCATGCCACGTGGCACTTCCGTCCGCGTTCTGGCTGTGGCTATGCCACGTGGCACCTCCTCTCGGACCGCCGCCGCCGCCGCCGTCGCTCGGAAAAGGCGCAACGGAATGCCATGCAGCAGGAGGCAGCAGGCCAGTCAAGCTTGGAGTGCAAAGTGGGTGCGAGACTCTTCTCTGCTCTCGTGGGAGGGAGTAGTGGGAGAGAGAGGCATGAAAAGGGGAAGCAGGCGGCGGCGGAGGATGCTGCCACGCGGCGACAGAATGGAGGCCCACCTAAGTCGATTTCCCTGGGATGAAAGGTGGTTCTTTGTCCTTTCTGATCGCTTGCAGAGAGCCTGGGGCGAAGGAGGTGGGGGGAGAAGGAGAGTAGGAGTGGGGACCACACAAGCCAGAGAAAGACGCAATCCGTTACGAGGCACACGGGATCCCGACCAGGTTGGGTATCGGCGGCTCGGCTGCCTCCTCTATGACCGCAGTCCCGTCGAAGCAAGCGATAGCGACCAACGTGGGATAGATCAATATTGGCGGCGCTTTGACACGATTCGCCGTGGAGGAGGAGGAGGAGGAGGAGGAGGAGGAGGAGGAGGAAACGATGGTGGACAAGCTAGCCTGGAGTGGGAGGAGGCGAAGAGGGGGGAGGAGGACAAGGGGATGGCGGGGGAGCAATCAGGTTGCTACAGGTGTGAGGAGGAGGAAGATAATCCGTCGAAATGCGTCGTCTGGAACAGATGTTATTCAACGGTTAGAGAGCGGAGATTGTCCGTTCGTGCGAATTGCCTGGGAGCTACCGGTGGAAAGGAATCCCATTTCTCCTCCTCCTCCTCCTCCGCCTCCTCGATTTCGTCCTCTTCGCAGTCTCGCTATCCTTCCTCCGACACCTCCTCTTGTCCTCTGGAGATGCCGGGCAGGGCTGGTCGTGGAGAAAAGTTGCCCTGCAGTGAGAACGACAATGCGAAGAGTCGGGCAGAGGAAGGAGGGAGTGGGATAATGGGAGAAGTAGGCGATGGTTTTGTGATGACGAACGACCGGCGGATGAAGAAGTTGGCGGGTAGGTCCGTAGCCTTTACTTGCCCTAAGTCATATGGCAAAACCCTGGAGGATAAGTTACGCATGGCTGGCGCCACTACCGTCTGGTCGCCTTCGATCCACGTGGGCTCATCTCACGACACAGATTTAGAGTTGGAGAGAGTGATCTGGGGAACACCACGAGGACGAGGAGCAGTAGCAGGAGGAGGAGGAGGAGAAGGAGGAGGAGGAGGAGGAGGAGGAGGTGGTGGTGGTGGTGTTGACCGCTCTTTCGAGGAGTCTTATCCTCTAGACAAATTTGCTGGTATAGCTTTCACCTCCAGGAATGGAATTACTGCCGTACTCAATGTAATTAGGAAAGGGAGGAGTCATGGTGGGAGGGAGAGAGAGAGCGGAGGGGAGGGAGAGGGAGAGGGAGAGGGAGAGAAGCTCGGTGAAGAAAAGAAGGGAATGGGTTCAAACCTCGAGTCGACAACAACAACGACGAGGAGCTCCGGCGGCCTTCCATTGAAAAAGTCAGCAGATGGAGAGGACGAGAGGTCGAGGAGCGAGGAGGTGATGATCCAGCCCAGGAGAGCAGTTTTGGGAGAAGTAGGTGATCCTTTCCTTCTATGCGCGCTTGGGCGGGACGCGGAGCTTCTGCCGCAGTTGAGATCGGAGATGGGCTGTGAGAAGAGGCGGGTGGAGGTGTTCTCCCCGCGCACAGCTCTCCCATTATCCTTGGCGGAGGAACTGGGAAACGGACACGGGCGACGGATCTTATGCCCAGTGCCACGTGTCATAGGCTTAGAAGAGCCACGTGTCGTTCCCGATTTCCTCAGATCCTTGACCGAGAGAGGGTGGAGGCCGGTGAGGGTGGATGCTTACGTCACCCAGTGCATGGGAGAGCGGTGTGTGGATCGCCTGGAACCTTATCTACGGTGCAGAGTTGGCGCCAACACGATAAGTGGCGGGAAAAAAGACGAGAATGACAGCTGGAAAGCGGGTACCGGGCAAAAGGCGGGAATCGTGAAAATGGCGGGAAGGGGAATACTTCAAGTTATGAGATCGGCAGAGCGGCTGGTGGGGGGCAAAGGAGGAGACAAGGAGAAGGAGAAGGAGAAGGAGAAGAAGGAGGAGGGAATTTCGGCAGACACCAGCAGCAAGAACGAGGCTGAGATGAGAATGTTTGAGGCGTCTATTCTCCAAGTGGACGATGATAGAGAGGATGACTGGATGAGATATGGAGGGGAGGAAGAAGATGGAAGAGATGCAAACATGTGCAGAAGGATACGAGGACGACTAGATGCGTTGATTTTCACGAGTATTACAGAGGCAGAAGCCTTGTTGAAAGCTTGCAGAGTGCGTGGCTTCGATCCTCTGCTCGTCCTCGGAGAGAAGAATGGCGGCCCTGTGGTTGCTGCACACGGACCCGTTACTGCGGCAGGTGTTGAGCGGCTTGGCATTCAAGTTGACGTCATCGGAAAACATTTTGAAACTTTTCAAGGCGTAGTTGATGAGCTTGCCGCGCATTTTCAAAGACGGAATGAAGAGGGAAGAACGGTTCCGTCAAAATCCAAATAAATTTAATAAAAAAGGAAATAAATTTTATAATAAAAAGGAATCAGGTTTTAAAATTTTAATTATTATGAGAACTTAAAGTGAGTAATAATAAAAAATAATACAAGGGGTGTGTCTCAGAGTACAGAGCTCTTGGTCAGACGTAGCGCCCTCCTCTGGTAGACGACAAAAAAAAAAAAAAAAAAAAAAAAATTACCCTTGTGGTTGCTGCACATGGGTCCTGTGACTGGTGCAGGCGTTGGACGGCTTGCCAGAGCTTGGCATTCAAATTGGAGAGCAGGTTAACGGAGACCCATAATTTTTTTTTCAGAGAACTTGTCATGCCATTTATGAACAAACCCCAAGGGTTATTTTAACCAAACTTCCCACCAATTTATAAAGAGTGGAGCAGGTTAACGGAGGCCCGAAAAAAAAATTGACATCATCAGAAAATATTATCGAAAGTTTCCAAGGTGTAGTTCATGAGCTTCCCGCCCACTTGCAAAGATGGAATTAAGAAGGAAGAGCAGCTTCATAGAATAAAAAACAAAGGAGGATTTTTTTTTTAATAAGGACTTAAAAGTAATTTATATAATAATAAATCCATTCAAGGGGTGTGTCACGAGAGAGAAAGAGGGCCTTTGGCACGTCCACGTCCAATAAAAAAGAAGAGGACAAAATAAAAGAAGCAATTTAGAGCAAAAACCGCCAAAAAGATCATAACAGAGTCACTGCAAAAAGCGCGCTGCTTTTGTGTGATTCTATTTTTTTGATAATTTTTTGATAATTTTTCAACTCGCAATAGAATTTGGAATTTGGAATTTCTCAGAGGCGACAATTTCAGGCGGTGTGTTTGCTATTCCAAGTTTTTGAGAATTTATAATTCGAAATTTGAATGTGGAATTTTTTGGAGCTAACAATTTCAGGCGGTGTTTGCGATTCTAATTCTTGAGAATTTCTAATTCGAAAATTGAATTTGGGAATTTTTTAGGCGTAACAATTTCAGGTCAGGTGGTGGTGGGGATCTGTCTTATGTGTCCCCCCCCCTCTCTCTCTCTCTCACACTCTCTCTCTCTCTCTCTCTCTCTCTCTCTCTCTCTCTCTCTCTCTCTCTCTCTCTCTCTCTCTCTCTCTCTGTCTGTAGGTGCGGATTTGTCTATTTGAAGTGTGCTTTCGGGTGATGATCGTAACCAAAAAAAATGACAAATAAAAAGAGAGCGGGTGTTTTTTTTCTTTCAGTAAAACGTCCTGTGACATCCTACGGTCCTGGGCTGATAAGAGCACCACCGGGATCGAGGAGCTCTGACGGATGACTCCCATTCATTGATGGGGAGCAGCACGTGCTGGAAACCGGGTCCAGCGTCCCTGATATAGGGCTTTCCTTCCTTCCTTCTTTTCCTTTCCTTGTTTTGCTTTTTTTCGCCTTCACGCTCTGATTCACAGTGTGACAATATATAATCTTTGTGACAAGTTACTGTAACAAATTGCTGGGAGCATTACCCAGCTTCGCTTGTATTGCTTCTGCAGCTCGGCCTCTCAGCTACTTAGCTGCGTGAGCTGACCTGAAGAAACTAGCCTGACTGACCTGAAGAAAGCAGTATGGAGTTTTGAGTGAGCCTGCAAAAGAACTGCAAACTGTAATATAATTGGAGCTCGCCTAAACACGTTTGCAGTTGAGATAGCCGGGCGGACCGGTGCCTGTCCCAGACCCGAGGGAACACCCGCTCCTATCTATCTCCCCTCACCCCAACCCGTTGCCTGTACTCAGACTGGCCTGCTCGCTAAACCCTAAACCCTAGGCATAAGGTCGGGACCGGAACTGGCTTCCCCACTTACACCGGGTCTTCCTCCACCCACCATGTCCTCCATTTGACTGAGATCCCGTCCAGCACGGCCGGCTTGCCATGCCGGAGAGCATTATGTATGAAGACGTCTTTCGCTTGTCGAGCTGTCTCCGGAGACTGCCCTGCCACATCCAGAATTGTGCTCGTTTCCATTGCGCCACTATATCTGTCCTTAGTATAATAGTATAAAGTACTATAAACCTCTAAGCTCTTCCTTGACCTCGCATGGCGGCATTGGTGTGTTGTCTATCGTGCTTTGGCACCTGTTTTTCCAAATTAGCGACAGCCTATATCGGCACGGTTTCTGATAACTGCCCTGCTCCGAATTTCGTCCAAGTGGTCGGTGTCTGCGTACCTATTAGCTGAGTAACGGGGTTGACTGGAACCAGGGTGGGGCTAATTCGTTGCCAAAGGAGGTCTATTTCCCGCCAGATCTGCTGAGCCTTGGCGCAGTCCAATAAGCAATGACGCGAATCGTCTCTTTTAGCCGGGCCGGAACGAAAGAAAAATACGACACAGAGCTCGCTCTGTGGGGTTTGCCTCTCTTTACTCCTTCATCATGTGTTGAGCCACACGTTAACCGGAAGGGCAAGGTATAAACAAAGCCGCTACTGCATATATACTATGTAGAATAGCCTGCAGCGGCAACCAGGGAAAGCCTGAGCTCTGAAGTGGGGCAATTTTCAGCTGATTCTGCCACCGATGTTCCAGCATTTCTGCCAGATCTCATGATCAGCCTTGTTGTGTAATGGAGAAATGTTGGTTCTGAGAGAAACCTGCATCTGTCCCCCACCCCACGCCAATTCCAAGCCCGCTCCACCGGGTCAATTTCCAAATTTTCAATTGAGGTGGTGGGTCGGGAAAATTGTAAAGGAATCGTCTCCTATGACCCTGATTTTCCAAAGGTCAAGGTCTTCTGCTCTGATGGACCCACCCACGTCCGTTTGGGAGTCTTTGCAGAGTGCCAAAGTGAACTGGTTGTGTGCCCAAGATAACCAATGTGTCATCCATGTCCCCACCTGAAGCCAGTCATCCTGCGGGCCTTCTCGTCTCCCAATCCGGAACGCCTCCGTGGACATGGCTGCCTGTTCCATGTAGTACAGTCCCCTTGTGTCCGCCGAGGCCCGTGCTGCAACAACGATGTCAATCGAAATGTCATTGAGATTCTCTAGCAAGTGATGATGGCTCCCTTTCAATTCCTTGCGCGGTTCCCTGTGCGTTTTCCAACGCATGTTATCCTCCTCTGAAAAATGGTGTCTCATCTGCCAGATGCCATGCTCTACCCATGTTCTCCACCAGAGGGAGTCGTGCCCTGACAGCATGCGTGGTTTATCGCGCTCGTCTGTTAACAATTGATTACAGAAGAGTGGTTGCTGCAGAACCTCTTCTCTCGTTCGGAGTCGGTAGACCTTGGCTAGGAATACCTCCTCCCAGAATCGCAGAAGATGCCTCCAATAGTCCGCTCCTGTATGATGCTCGTCTGGGTTGCGGCCTGCCCTGCTTCGACTCCCCGTTTATGCCCATGATTTGCTTGCTCATTACCCAGAACCATCCAGATGTATTCTCAGGGGTCTTATTTGTCTAGCTATCTTCCGGACGTGTTCCTGTGTGAATGCGTGGTTCTACCTTAATGCATCTGTATTGTGCCATTATAGCTGTATCCAGTGCAATTTTCCAGCTCGGATACCTCAATGACGACCCTGTGCTGTGTTTGGCATGGTGTAAGGCCGAAGAGATATACACATGCTCTAGCACGTCACACAAGTGGTTAAAGCACCACTACATCCCAGCAATCGTTCACAGGCCCCTTTCGGAGGCCGCCTGCCGTTGATTCATTTTATCTACGGCTCAAAACAGGTTCTCCAGTTGCCTGGGGGCATGTACTGGTGTTGTTTAACGGGGACAGGAGTCCAAGTAAAGGCAGAGGGAAAAGCAGCATGAGAAAGTGTGAGAAGCAGCAGGGGGTAAAGTCTGGAATTCGGCACACCGGATGAATCGGACCTAAATTTGGTTTGCGCACAACTGGTACCTTCATTCTACACCTACCGTTCTCTGGGCCCTTCTCAAGTCTGCTAAACAAGGTCTGGAGTGGATGAATCGGATCATGATGTAGTCCGGGTCCATCTGGTATGCCCTTTCTCGGCCGATGGGTATACTGACGTAGCATCTCTTCCATGGGCTTTCTGCTAGATCTCTATTGCATCTAACCGATTTCTGGGTATATACCTATAGAGTCCAAATTGCGAGCTTGTACGTCCTAGTAGCTTACCTCCCCTGCCCTCTGTAGTCTGGACCAATTTTCAGTCTTGACCCTCACAGCGTCCAACGTTTGCAGGTATAGCCTTGCTGAGACTCAGACTGGAATACAGGCACGAGGCAAGCACACACATCCATTTAGGCACAGGAAACTTCAGCAGATTGCAAACAAGGACCTGAGCTCACAGTTCTCAGCAAGTTATGATTCTGTCAGTCCAAAACACCGATTTGCAGGGAATCTCAGACGAAATTCAGTCTGGACTTCTCAGACTGAATCTATGGGTCACTGCAAAAGAGAAGTAAAGAAAAGATACCACATCTGATCTCTCTTGTGATACCTCATGCAGCGAAGGAGAGAGCCAAAAAAATGGTGGAAGGCAAGAGTAGATGGGGGTGAACACCATGCAGAAAGGAGCGACAAACTATCCCAACCTCGTCATTCATTGTAGGCCTCGTCTTTGTATGTAGTATGTGTCATTGTATGGCATCTCGCTCCCTACAACACGCTCAAGCACTGTGACGTCTTACTTACAGCTGTGCGGGCCACTAAAACCCTGTGCGGCAGCCATGAGAACCAATGACCACGAAAAGGCAGCTCACAGTTTTGATGCCTTGCACGAAACCTGACTTCCTCAGCTCACGGTCCCTCAGCTCTACTTAAACCCTCTCTTTGAGTGGAAGGTTGTGTGTTCAAAACTCACTCACAGCAAACATGCAATGCCACAAGACAGCCTCACGTTTGACACTCATCAGCCTGAAACCCAAAGCAAACAGGGAACACTTAATGCGCTTACGGCTCTGACAGGTCGCGGTTCAACCCCTGGTGGTAGCGAATAATAATCAAGTTAAATGAGCTCAGTGTCCTTTACAAAATCACAGCCAGTGCAATTGGCTTCAAGCCATAACCTGCAGTGGCTTGCAGTCCTTGGTTGATCAGAGCCCCTGTATCTTGATCTATGCTCTTGGGCCTTGGCTCAGTTCTTGAGTTTCATGCTGTAGGACCACAATCCTTGGGCAGTGGAGCTTCAGCAACAAGTGTCAAGTAGTCATGTATCGATCCATGCAATAGACAAGGATTGAGGTATAGTATAGTATACCTACCTCATTGACACCCCTTCCAGGGGTCTAGGTAGATTACGCAGCCCAACAGTACGTCTGAATTTGAAGGTCAACTAACTGCTCGCTCTGCAAAACCGGAGAAGGGTCGGATTCGTCAGAGCGATCAAATTTCAACAAAAGCTCCGGGGAGGGGGTGTCTTGTCCAGTTACACCCATCCACTTTCTCCACTCCCATCCTGTTGCATGGACATGGCCTGGTGCCAGACGAGAGCACATACGGGTTCGGGCCCGCATAAGTAAGATTGGTTAGCATACCATATATGGGATCATCGGGATGCATGCGAAACCCCAACACGGAGAGTGGGTATGAAATGGGAGGAAAACCCGTCGTACCTGAGTGCTCAAGCGACCAAAAATACCTGTCGGTCTTGTCTGCAGCGTCAAAAAACTACGAAGAAACCCTGGGCTTTCATTATGCATCTTCGTAGATGGCACAGCCACTGCATGACCGATTTGTTCGTAATCCACATTATCTGGAG